ATATATATATATATATATATATATATATATATATTTGGTGTCCTTTTTACTTACGTTTTTTTTTGTTTTCGTGCTTTCCGGTGGGGAGAGGGGGGCTTGTAGCGGAGGCAGAACGGGAAAGGAAAAGGCTAAGGAAAGGAAAAAGGGGGAGTGAATCTCGATTACGATGCCGCATGTTCGCGCGGTGGAGTTGGAGGATCTCGCGCCGACGCTCTCGTCCGCCGAATGGGCATCCGGCGCGCTCTACTTCGTCGGCGACGTCGGGGCGACGTACGCGCGCCTCGGTTTCGGCCGCCTCGCGGACGCCGCGGCGGTGGTCGACGTCGTTTTCGTTCGCTTTCCGATGCGGCGCGGGTCGATTCGTGAGGTGTTGGATTTCTTCGCCGGTATCCTTGCGCGGGTGGAGGGCGTCGGCGGGGTTCTTTCGCGGATCCGCGCTGGCGTCGTGAGCGTGCCGGGGCCCGTCTCCCGAGGGGGGTTGGCCGGGCCCTTTAACAACCTCGATGGGCAAATCGCGTTAAGGGAATTCCCGCGCGCGCTTTTTCCGTTCTCGCGGGCGGCGTTGTTGAATGACGTGCAGGCGGGCGCGCATGGCGTGCTCGCGCTCGGGGATGCCCTCACGCCGCATTACGGTCGTTTTTTCACCCGTATGTGGGGGCCCGAAGGGGCTGAGGAGGAGGCCGAAGCGGAGGCGGACGCGATGCAGGCCAATCCACCGAATCGCCCGCAAAGTGGCGTGGTGGGGGAGGAAACGATCGGGAATGGCCCCCGCGCGAATGACGGGCGGGATGGAAACGTCCAGGATGAAAACCGGGCGCCGCGATCGGTGCTTGGGCGGGGTCCTTGCCTCGTGCTCGCGCCCGGCACCGGTTTAGGCAGCGCGCTCATTCTCTACCACGAGGCCGCGCACTGCTATCAGGTGCTCCCCCTCGAGTTCGGCTGCACGGGCGTCTCCGCGCTCGTCATGCGGGCGGGCGAGGAGCCCGGGAAGCCTTCCTTGACGGGTCTCGCGAAGCGGCTGGGGTGTGCGGCGTGGGAGATGAAAGTGGAGGATCTCGTCTGTGGGAGTTCGTTGGTGTATCATTACGCCTGCGAGGCGGCGAAGGATGGACATGCGCGGCACCCGGCCGATTCCCCGGAAGCGATTGCCGATTTCGCGAAGGCGGGCGATCCGGCGGCTCGCCGGGCGCTCCTCGCGGTCTACACCCATCTCTTTCGATGCTGTAGCAACACGATCATGTCGTTTTTGCCGTCGAATTGCGTGATCATCGGGGATAATGTGGTGAAGAACCAGTTCCTGCTGAGCGACGCCGCGTGCGAAAAGGCCCTTCATGACGCCTTGCATGAACACTCCATGAGCAAACGAGGTTTTATGAGCCGAACGACCTTTTTTCGACAGGTGAAGGATATTAATCTGAACTTGCTTGGGTGCCTGGGCTACGGCATTCAACTTGGAAATTCTTGGAACAAAAATCCAATTTTCGACGAGGTAGATTCATAAATGAGCAAACCGTTGACTCACTGCATTTTTTAGCGCTACTAATCTAATCTGTGATTCGAAACTTTTGGACGAGTCAAGCTTATTCATGGCTTTCCTTTCTTGGTTTAGCAACTAGACGCTGTTGCGAGAGGAAAATAGGAGGAGGGAGGGGGATAAACTCAATGGGATAAAAGTGATCGCCTTTCCATTTAAAGCTAGGTTAAGAGGCAAATCGCATGTGCGAGTACATGTGTATCCAGGCTTCCAATTTTGGCATTCATGAGAAATGTGTTGATTTGATTTCGTTTATGTCCTACCATATATGAACGTAACGTAAGAGCTCATGGATGTTGTGATATATCGATGCCTTAAGGGTGCTTATCGTGTCTTTAATGTATTTATTACTCCCAATCGATACAGCTTCTGCATTTCAATGCTTGTTAAAATGTTTTTTGCCTATTTCCAAATCAAAATACATATGTTGTCTAAAGAGAAGATGATTTAGAATTATTTGATTTATAAGAACCCGTTGAAAGGATACCTATTGTAGAAATGACTCCGACTAAAGCTTCTTGGTTCTTTCTTTTATAATGATAATGGGCACGTATTTTTTTTTTGTTGTTGAGATCGCAAGTGCTATATTGCTCACTCTCTCTTAACATTCCATCACGTCCTGCGCGATGGAGGCTTCTCCTGAGAAGCACACTTGAATTCATGCTTCGTAAATATGAACTTTTGGTAATATAAAACAACAGTGGGGAAAATTATTTTGGAGTACTATTAGGAAAATTAGGTAACATAAATTGCTGAATCTCTCTCTTTCAAATTGAAGGAAACCTGAAGCCAGTGTTTTATCTTAACATTGTCTAGGTTAATGCAGAAGAATGATACAAAGGAGCTGAATGCCAGGTGTGAAGAGTGGATTTCTCTCCAACAGGAGCTCGCTGCTCGTGTTCGCGTGCCGAGCAATGAGATATACTGCCCACCACCAATACCTCCTTCCACGGTTTGTCGGGAATCCCCACCGGAGCTTTTGGAACCGAGAAGGGCAGGAGAATTCGATGCGGCTTTTGTTCATCGTCACTTTCTCATTCCAAAAGAATTGCTCCAAAGCGATCCCGTTTCTCCTCAGGCCTTGTCTAGCGTCGATGGATTATCTAGCACAGGATATTATCATTTCGCACATGAGATCCTTGCACGACAGATCCAATGGGATATGGATCGCCAACGGGAGTGGGTGGAGGCGCGGGTGTTCTCTGAGGATTCGAACTCCACCACGCCACCTTTATCTTCGTCTTTGCCTTCACCTTTAAAGGTTATTGGGGGGGTCGATATTTCCACCCTCCCAGGGACGTCCTATGGCGTCGCCTGTCTCTCCATTCACGCATTCCCATCTCTTGATTTTCTCGGCTCGTTCACGCATCCCTGCGAGCTGGAGGAGCCTTACATTTCAGGGTTCTTAGCCTTTCGAGAGGTGCGGCCGGTGATGGAATTGCTCGATCGCGTTCAGGGAGCTCTCCGGGAGAAGGGCTGGATGCCGCAGCTTTTGCTCGTGGATGGGTGTGGGGTGAATCACCCAAGACGCTGCGGGTTGGCCTCGCATCTCGGGGTTCTCCTCGACATTCCTACCATCGGCTGCAGCAAAAAGATGCTTTCCGTTGGGGGGCTTTCGCGCGAAGATGTGGAAGGGTATTTTCACTCCGTTGCGAGCCCATCCCCCCACACAAAACCCCAGGGTTATCACGTAGAAAAGCGAAACCTGCCGCGCGATCGGGATCGCATCGATCGGCTGCTGCCACCGCCGCTACATCCCATTCTTATCAAACGTACCCCTTCCTCTTCCTTCTCCTCTTTAGATGGCGACGAGCTCGTTGGGTACGCTGTGCAAACCAGCAATAGTGCAAAGCGTTGCATTTTTGTTTCCCCCGGAAACGATCTCGGTTACGCGACATCGGTTGGGTTGGTGCTGAAGATGTGTAAACATCGCATCCCGGAGCCGATCCGCACGGCTGATTTGTTGTCGCGAGACTATATTCGCTCCATAAATCCGCAAAAGAGATTAATGGGGGAGGGAAAGGAAAAGTGAACTCAAATTTGATTCACGTTGATTGCGCATCAGGGTAACGTGGGATATAGGGTCGGATAGGCAACCAAGCGCCAAATGGCTACGTTCAATGTGCATCATTATCATCATTTTGAGGGTTCGGCGTCTTTGAATCGGTTCCCATTTCTTTTTACTTGAGCAATACCTCTTTTCTTTCTATATTCCAGAGTTTCCGTTTTCTTCGGTATTCCCATACGCTTAAATATCTATTACAAGTGCCCTCCCCTCCCTACACGCGCATAACCAAAAAAGAAAGGACAACGCCTGTTTTTATTGGTTGCGGCCTCAATATTCTATCGAATAGCGCTTTCATATATATATATATATATGTTGTAGATTCACATTTTCACATGATTTTGTTTAGCTTTATCTGTTTCGTTTTGTGGGCTCTATGGTCTTTGCAACGCCTTGTCACCTATCGCGTTCATGATTTTACGGGAAAGACCGTTCTCATCACGGGTGCGTGCTCGGAGTTAGGGGCGCGGCTCTGTGAGCGGCTTCACGCCGAGGGTGCGAACCTCATCGCGTGGGATCCAAGCCTTCCAAACCTCGAGCGCCTTCGAAAGGAGGTGCTTTCCGCCGGCGTGAATGGCACCACGGGGAATCGGGAAGGGGATTTTGAGTCCCATGCCGGCGGCAAAGGCTTCCCGTTTTTCACCATCACGATGGTAAATTTTTCTTCGCAGGCAAACGTGCTGCGTGCGGCGCAGGAGGTGGCAGGGCAGGTGGATATCATCCTTCACACCGCTCAGGTGTTTCCGATGCAGCCTTTTTACAAACGCGCTCCCGATTCGATCGGGAGTGTGCTCCTCAGCAACAGCGCGGCCTTGTTACTTCTTGCCAAAACGCTCTGCCCAAGCATGTTGCAACGGCGGGAAGGTGGGCATTTCGTGAGTTTCGTTACCTCCCCAGGGGTGAGCATGGTGGAAGGGGAGAATCCTGACTACGCGGCCTCCCAGTGGGCGACGGTGGGTGCGCATTACAGCATTCGTGCGTGGTTGGGAAGTGGAAGGCGGCAGCAACGCGGCACCGGGCAGGTGCACACTACCTTGGTGAATCTCCCGGTATGGCAGGAGGATATCACGCTAGTGGAAAAGGAGGCGGGGTTTCTCGCGGTGCCGAATTTTCCACTTCGCAGCACGGCAGCGGCGAGCAACGAGGCCGTGGCATCCTCTCATTACAATAATACCCTTTCTGCAGATGGGGTGGCGAGAGCGAGGAAGACCTTGAATGCAGAGGTGGATGCCGCCCTGTATGCGATCGCCCGCCGTGAGGAACATTACGGAGGAAGACGGAGTTGGGTGATGTTTCTGCGTGCAGTTGCGTTGATGGTGTTGCCATTTCCATGGCAAAGGTCTTTAGAACAAATATGGAGTCATATTATGGGACCAGGGAAACTAAAGAATGAATGAGGAAGAACATAGTGTTTCATTAACTAGTCTAAATGGTTTACATTACTTATTTTTCCATTCAGGGCGTATCGATATTTTTGACGCTCACAAAAATATTTTTATTTAAGGAAAGAATAGCAGGCGTAGACTGGGAGTTCTAAACAGTAACAAAAACTCTGCATTGTGGAGCATGAGATCAACCAGATAGCTAATAACATGTGAAAAGAAAATGGAGACATGCAAAAAATTCACTTCTTATGTACAAATCGTTTGTGCATCATAAAAAGTTAGATTCAATGAATCAAATGACTATCAAATAAATAATGAAGCTTTTTCATATTAATTGACCTCTCAAAAATAAAAATATCTACAAGAATTAGTGAGTAGTGAAATGCTTAAAAAAAATAATCATCCAAATTAAATAATATATATCCCAAAGAAACGCGCAATATGCATATAAACAACTTTATAGGCAATATATGCAAGAATAAGAGAGTCAAACATCTTAGACAAAGCGGAGTGT